AATTATAGGTAATTTATCTTTCCTTTTCTACTTTTCTACATATACATATATTTTCTAGTAGGAACATGTAACTTCCACAATCAGAAAAAAAGTGAAAATAGTATAAGACTTTTTAGTTTAAACACATGGACACATGCACACATATACTTATCTTGACTTGAGACAGGGAAAAACCATCTAAGCATACGTTGCTTCTTGTGCCACCTCAGCCCCCAGGAAGAGGCTGATACTGTGTCATTCCAGTGTGAATCAGGGTTGAGGTATTCCCCTCCCTCATATCAAGCCAATAGTTTCTCTCCTTCCCTCTCTCCTTTGTCAGTGGTGTTGAACTCATAGTTCTGTCTCTGGTCACCAGATGGCGTGCTTACTTCTAGTTTCTAATATTATTTAAGGGGTGCCTAGGTGCTCAGTCAGTTAAGCCTCTGACTTCAGCTCCCGTCATGATCTCACCACTCATGGGTTTGAGACTGGCATGGGGCTCTGTGCTGACAGCTCAGAGCCTGGAGCTTCCTTTGGATTCTGTCTCCGTCTCTCTCTTCCCCTCCTCCACTCATGCTGTGTTTCTCTTTCTCTCAAATATAAATAAATATTGACAATTAAAAAAAAAATAAAACCATACTATTTAAAACCAATATTGTCTTGGTAAAGAGATTTAAAGAAAACGTTCATTTTTTTTACATATAAGTTATGAATCAGTACATTCAGTACAATCCCACTTCTGTTTGAAAAATACATATTCATGGAAAAAGTTAGAAGGATATATAATTGGGTTCTTCATTCAATAATCGGGCTCTTCATTCATTCAATTCAATAAATATTCAAGTGGTCTTTACTACATATCAGGTACCACCAGCCACAATCCATATTTCCATGCCAATTTCTTTTCCAAACTCTAGACACTTACATCTAACTTCCTAGTGTACATTTCCAACTGGAGAAAGATAATAATGTAAAAATTCACCCAAATGCACAAGCTTACAATACTTATTAACTCTAAATCAATTATTCCCAAGGCCTGAAAAACTACAATCTAAATTGGAGGTAGTGTGGGATGCCTAGCTGACTCAGTTGGTGGAACATGAGACTCTTGACCTCAGGGTTGTGAGTTTTAAGCCCTACATTGGGGTAGAGCTTACTTTAAATTAATTAATTAAAAAATAAGTTGGAGTGTATAGAGTGGGGAGAATGCAGAATTTGATTCTGACAAATATGAATTAGAACACAGGATCTGTCTCTTTTTTTTTTTTATATTTTTTTTTTTTTTTTTTTTTTTTTGTATAATTGTATTTCTTATTCATAAAAATAATTGAGTTTGGGTTAGTATTTCTGAATGGGAGAGGAAGGGATCTCTGGGTGTTTTACAAGGAGCCCAAACCTGATCTCTCTATGCTACCTCACCAGAGGGGCTCCCACTCTCAAGCACTGTGTCCTAAAAGCCAGATAATTCTGGTTAAAAGAGGGCTTTCTCTAGGGGCCAGAGTCCTCAATGCTTTTTGCTGTGGGGTTGCCCAGGCAAGTTGCTTCTTGCATATGTGATTGAAATACTAGCCTTCTGTTTGGGCATGGAGGTGGTAAAGAGACTCAGAGAACCAGGCTGTAGATGCTGCTGAACCTCTACCACCAATGCCCCTGGCCCCCAAGTCATGAGGAGGTCCTAAAATGCATAGGGGTACTCATACAGGAGGTGAACCCCCTTTTCTCCTAAGTGGTTGGACCACATGCCTTTGCAAATTCCCTTTACCTGGAGTCTCCTCTGCCTCTGGGCCTAGGATGACACAGACATCAGAGGCACTACATATACAGAGCAATGTTCACTGCAGAATCACCAAAACAGGCTGGGGCATGTCTGAGGCCCCTTGGGGAGTCTACACAAGGTGGGTAGAAGAAGGATGCTTGAGGTCTTGTCTGAGGTCTAATCCCATTTATGGAAAGGCTAACTTATTAAACTCAGAGAAGAGCCAGCTCCTTCTGCTTCAGCCTCAAGTTACTTGGTCAGACCCAGGTCGGACATCTGCCTACTTAAAGATTATCCCAACCAATGTTTCCAGTTATGAATCCTTGGGACTTTATCTCTTCCCCTAAAAAAAGTTCCCCAAAAGAGAAAGGGAAAATGAAGGAAAGGCAAAGTGTTCTGACTTGGCAATGGGGACAGTTGTTGCCCCCCAGGTAAGTATGTCCAGGACAATCTGGCCATCAGCCTCAGAGGGTCTGGTGCCTGCTGCAGCCTGGAGCAGAGAAACCAAAATCAGATGTACCCTGCAGAGGAGTGTGACTTGGATGAACCCTTCCACATCCTGCCCGAATGCCACCCCTCTGAAAGCCAGAGTTGGATTCTTCCTGTCTTATCAAACTGGTACAGTGAGCCTCTGGAAACTTATTTCACTCCAATGGAATCCACCCCAACCAGCATCCATCAAGCTGCCATGACCTTGAAGAATGGTCTGGAGACATGAAGATCCCCCCCAAATGGCAACATACAGTGAAAAATAAAAACAAAAGAAAAGTCAAGGGCACAGGGCTGGCTTACCATTTTGTGAGCTGATTACCAAACAACTTTAAATTTACTTTTGATGCATTTTTCTCATATTGGAAGAAAGGAATGCAAGGCATTCCATAATGTCAGTCATGGAAAATCTATCTTGTTATTTTATTGTCCTCTTAGCTTTTCATTCTGTGTATAGTCTTGCTTCGTTGCAAGAATTCTATATATTTTTGTTTTTAAAAAATAATGTTTTCATTTATTTTTGAGACAGAGAGAGACAGAGCATGAGCAGGGGAGCGGCAGAGAGAGAGGGAGACACAGAATCTGAAGCAGGCTCCAGGCTCTGAGCTGTCAGCACAGAGCTCCATGTGGGGCTCAAACTCACAGACCGTGAGATCATGACCTGAGCTGAAGTTGGACACTTAACCGACTGAGCCACCCAGGCGCCCCAAATTCTTTATCTTATGTAGTAAAATTGATAAGGTTGTTTTTAGTTTCTTAAAAATATGCTTGGACAAGGCTTTCACTTTTTTAAAAAAGTGTATTTTGAGAGAGAGAGACACAGCATGAGCAGGGGAGGGGCAGAGAGAATCCTAAGTAGGCTCCACACTGCCAGATGTAGGACTAGAACTCATGAACTGTGAGACCTACCAAGAGTAGGTCACTTAACCAGATAGAGGCAGCCAGGCGCCCCAAGCCTTTCACCCTTTTAAATTCTGATACAATAATCTGCATTTTCTTTTATATTATAATTTATTCTTACTAAAACCAGGAGTATGCTGCATATAGCAGTGGTTCTCTAACTTGTGTGGTAATTGACAGAAAAGGAAATGCAGTGGGTCTGGGGTAGAGCCCAGTCTTTGCATTTTTTATAAGAGAAATGCTGATACATAAAATATGTAAATAATTTTAATGTTGAATTTGGTGAAGGAATTCCTCCCCACAGTGATCCTTTTGGAACTGCAAATCATACTTTCTAGAGAAGTGAACATACTGAAGCTACATAGTCAATCAGACAAACTCAGGGTTCATGACTGGGTCATAATTTAAAATTTTTTTTTCAACGTTTATTTATTTTTGGGACAGAGAGAGACAGAGCATGAACGGGGGAGGGGCAGAGAGAGAGGGAGACACGGAATCGGAAACAGGCTCCAGGCTCTGAGCCATCAGCCCAGAGCCTGACGCGGGGCTCGAACTCACAGACCGCGAGATCGTGACCTGGCTGAAGTCGGACGCTTAACCAACTGCGCCACCCAGGCGCCCCAGGGTCATAATTTAAAAAAATTAACCACTATCCATGTTTCTAGAATCAACAGGAACAATAAAACAAAATCTTAGATGTTATGAGGGTAGTTTGAGAAATCATAATATCTGATACACACAGGCATATATATGTATATGCATACACATAGATAATACTTCAATGACTTACAAAGTACTTTTGAATGTTTCTTGGTGATGAGGGGTGGGGTAGAGGGGAAATGTCCTAACTTGAGGCTAAGTCTTACCTTCCTCTCTAATTTATACAAGTTGAGCAAGTCAGCTGACTTGGTTAAGGGAAGCCTGCCAGAAACCCTTGGGAGGGAACTCACCCTAAGGCAAATATTAGGTACCTAAAACCTTAGTCATTTTTGGAGATTATTGGGAGAGATTCCAATTCTGAATACATAGCATTGTGTCTGGCTTGCAAGTTTGTCTCCTAGCCCAGGTCTCAGTGAACTCATGTTTGAATCCAGTGGAGAAACGAGAGGCTTTCAGAAAAAAAGGGACAATTTTGCTAAGAATTCTTTAAAACATTGAGGTTTAAGCAGCACTGGGATGATATGCACCTGTATAATATTAAAACCAAAGGAGGGGCATTCTCCATTTACCTGTAGGAGACTGGGTTCAGCTTTGGCCCAGAGGGACTCCAGAGAAATCAGTGAAGCTTTGCAACTGGAGGACCCAGGCACCTTGGCTGTGGTGGGGGTCATGGAAGGACCAAGACCCAGGGAAAAAGGCAGCTATTCCCAGTAGATGTGGCAGTGTCCAAGGGAAGGGAATAGCAGGACAGAAATAGAATGTGTCATTCACCTGGAATCTCACAGGAATTATTTGTGAGTGTAAGTGAAACCTCCTTTGGGTTCTATCCACTGAATATTTGAAAGGTATCTTATAGGGGTTGGGGGTCCTGCATATGCAGGTGGAAGAAAACCATAGAGCTCTAGGATCTTCATTTGGCTCCACAGCAGCCTTGTAAATCCAGCATTATTCCTATTTAAATAGAAAAAGAGGGGCGCCTGGGTGGCGCAGTCGGTTAAGCGTCCGACTTCAGCCAGGTCACGATCTCACGGTCCAGGAGTTCGAGCCCCGCGTCGGGCTCTGGGCTGATGGCTCAGAGCCTGGAACCTGTTTCCGATTCTGTGTCTCCCTCTCTCTCTGCCCCTCCCCCGTTCATGCTCTGTCTCTCTCTGTCCCAAAAATAAATAAACGTTGAAAAAAAAAATTTAAAAAAAAAATAAATAGAAAAAGAATGACCTTTAAGTAGAAGTACCTGGTTTTTCTGCCTAAGAGATTTAAAGGAAACATGGGATTTACTTTTCTTTAAAGTTCTGACAAGTATTTATTAAGTGCCACATTGTTTTTATAAGTTGATTGACAGTTTTTAAATTTTTCCCCATATTGTTTTTTTCAACAAAAGCAAAATGTTTGTCTTGAAAAATGAGAAGCTCCCATTAAGCAAAATGAAAAACCAAAACACCTGTTATCTTACCACATGGATAGCCACTGTTAAGACATTTAAGTATATACTTTCAGTTTTTTCTTTGCATAATAATATACAAATATACATTTTTTACAAAATGGGATGCTACATATACTTTTTGAAAATTGTTTTCACTTCACAATATATAATGTACACCTTTTCATGCAAATGGGTGAGAGGGAGACTTGCAGCTTGTGGGTGGGGAAAACCCAATTTTATGCCAGTTACAAGCAAAACTCCTAAAATAAAGCCACGCAAAAAGTTAAAATTGAGATGGGGAAAGTGCATGAGATGAGAAAATCAAACAAAGTTCAGGTGGCAACCTTCTATCAGGGGAAACAATTAAAGGCCGAACACATTAAATAGGATAAGGACGGTTCCGTCTCGCCTTCCAATGCATGACCATTAGTTTGTTTCGTACTCTTTTCATTTCTTCCATCTCCTCTGCCACCTTTATCATCTCCTCGTTGCTCAAATTTCGGCCGTGTATGTCCCCTCTAAATTGCGGGCGAGAGCGAGCCAGCCTCTCTTTGAAGCTTCCTTCTTCCAGCTTATGTTTTCCCACTCCACAAGGAGGCTGCTCCATGGGAGGGCGCTCTTCAAAAAGGTCCCTTCTAGAAAGGCGCTCCGGAGGAGGGCGCTCCTCGGACACGAGCATCTCGGGAAGGAGCTCAGGAAGGAGCTCCTCAGGAAAGAACTCCTCCTCTGACGACTGCTCCTCGGAAGACGGTTCTTCCGGAGACTGCTTTACGGGAGAGTGTTCCACAGGAGGCCGTTCCTCATCCGTCTTGGGCGCGCTCTCTGGCTGTTCCTCATTTTCTTTGCATGATTTTTCCATGTTGAGGATCCTCTTTAAGTACAGTTATTCATAGGAGACAAGGCAGAGTCGAGTAAACACACTTGGTGGCTGGATCAAAACCCTGGCCACGGGTTCCCATAACTGCCTTTTCCTGAGTTGGGGGCCCAGGTCCCCCACCTATGCTTGTCGAGGGGCTCTCTGGCCCTGGGGACCGCGCCGCACCCTGTTAGCCCCGATCGCCCCCTCCTTCCCGAAAGCCCACCATTTTCCCAGCAGGCCTTGCCAGAGGCCTCTCCCATTGTGACAGGGGCGGGGCGGGGCGGTGGTACTGCGGACTCCGTTCCAGTCAGCGTCCTCCCACGCACCCCATCCCGGGCCATTGCCCACCACTTCCCTGACCTGGACCTCTCCTGGCGGTTTGCTCTAGGCCTCCTCTCCTCGAGGCGCACCGCTGTGACCCGCAGACCTGCAGACAGACGCAAGACAGGGTAGGGGGCGGAGAGTGGGGAGGAGGGAAGGACTAACTGACAACATACGTCCCTTTCCTGGGCATTAGCCGCCGCCCCCGCGTCAGCCCCCACTGCCTCCCCTCCCCCATGCCCCACCATCCTATACCTCGCAGTGTTCGTCATTTCTTTTCAGGCGGCAAGTGGAAGCGAAGGATTATTTAGAAACTATTTCTAAGTCTGTGACTCCCAGGGGGCCCCACTCACCTCCCCACCTCGCCCCAAGGCCACCATTTTCTACACCGAAATGTGGGAGCGGGGGTGGGGGGGTGGGGTGGGGGCGGGGCTGGATATAGGGAAAGGCCTGATACTCTCTGCCATCCCGATCCCAGGGGTTATTGGGCAGCATCGACACTCAAACCGATTTAAGGGGACCAAGGGGACTTACTTCCTCCTGCTTTTTCCCCTTGACCAAAGGGCAGTAGGCAGACGGTGTCTGGACAAGCAAAAAGGACCTGGACGAGAGGGACTTGGGCAGACATAGGCTCCTGGTCACGTGAGGGCCGCGCGTCACAGCCTAGCTCAGATCCCCAGTTAACCACTTTGACCGGCGGCCTTGCTGCAGCACCCTTCCTGTATTTCGCAACTCTCAACACACCAGGCATCGTCGCTCACCTCTTTGTTTATATTTGCCTTTTCTGGTTACCAGAGACTGTCAGCATCCAGTCTTGGGAGTTATTGCCTCTTCCTCTTTGCTGCTTACCCTGATACCACCTCTTATTCTCCTGTTGTCAAACACCAAGGCCCATTATTTCACCTACAGTCCAGATCCTGCACTGAAATTTGACTATTTTTACTTAATGAATCAGTATCATGTCTCCTTTCCCAGTCTTAATCCACATCCATACCCATGACTCCATCATGTCCGTTTATGCTCTATCAACATGGTTTTCACTTCTTGTCACTTTTATGGAAGATAAGCTTTCACTTTTCCATGACCTGAGGATTTTTTTGAGCCCCCAAACCTGTACCACAAATAGAGGCTGCAGTCTAAATTCGTGAACATTCAGTTCTAGAACTCTAGAAAGAGTTGTTTGTAAAGTATGCAAATCTAAAAACATAAATACTTTGATGATTTTCATAAATCAAAGTACACATTTGTCCATCTAAGTACAAAAAATCTAAAGATTTATTTTCTGAAATGGGAGCATTTGGGGTGGAGAGTGTGGCATTATATATACAATTAAAAAAAAAATTTAGGTAAACTCCACGCCACACATGGGGTTCCAACTCGACCCAGAGATCGAGAGTTGCATGTTCCACCAAGTGAGCCAGCCAGGCACCCCTATATATACTATTATGTGTGTGTGTATCACACACACACACGCAAACACACACTCTTCAGTAATTATTCATAATAGAAGAAATATTTTTCTGGGACTCTAAATCCTTAACCGGGCACCTCTTGGTGTTGCTGGTTGATAAAGTGTATATTAATTCATTAAATCAGCAAATATCTGGGTCCTGGACTGCTGTATCCAAAAGATTCAGCGCAGAAGACATTCATATTCAACTATGCAATAATTCTGTTCATCACACATGGAGTAGCAGGATTAAAACTATATTAACATACTCAATTGTCTTTACAAGTATGTATGTTTGAATCTAATGGTGTTTTTTTTTTAAGTTTATTTATTTTGAGAGGGTGAGCGTGAGTTTGGGGGGGAGGTGCAGAGAGAGAGAGAGGGCGAGAGGGAGAATTCCAAGCAGACTCCATGCCATCAGCACGCAGCCGGAAGCGGAGCTCGAGCTCACAAACCATGCCATCATGACCTGAGCCAAAGTGGGACTTTTAACAGACTGAGCCACCCAGGTGCCCCTGAATCTAATGGTGTTATGATCTTCAATCTCCCATCCCTGCATCTTACCTACTCACATCAGCCTGGATGCTACTTCTCATGCAGGTGCCCTTTCTTCTGGAAAGTAGACTATACCTCTCCTCTCTGTATTTTATACTTTCAGGGTTGATGGCTGTCAGATCTGTTAGGACCCTGGGATTTTTTTTTTTTTTTCAAGCCCAGGCCATCTAGTAAGTTTCCAAACAGAAATTCATTCAGGAAATTTCCCAGTTTAGAGCTTTTTTTTCCAACATCTAATTTATTTTGTGTTGAGATAGAAGCAAGACAGATATTAGTTCACTTTTATATCTTTTCTCTAACTTTTACTTTTTCATTTTTCAGTGATGTGTGTCTTTTAAAAGCCAAGTTTCACTATACCTTCTTTATTCTTTTCACCAAAGTTTGGCCTCATCTCTTTCCAAGAGGACCCCCATTTTATTCGCATTTCATCATTTCTGACCTTTTCCCCCTTACATCCTGTGATGGAGAACTCACTACCTTAAAAGACACCCATTGAAATTTCAGACAGTTTTATTCAGAGTAGTTTTTACTTTTGTTGAGCTGAGGTCTGCCTCCCAGTAGTTGACATACATTTGGTGTTGATTCTGCTTTCTGGAGCGGTACAAAACAAGTATTAGAGTTAATATTCTAGTTCTTTCCCTTTCCCAGCTGTGAGACATACCAGGCAATCCACTTGAATTTTCTGTGACTCAACTTCTTCATCTGCAAAATTGGAGACATAATAGTACATATCTCAATGGATTGATAAAATCAGTAAATGAGTCAGTATATGTAAAGGACTTGGAAAGGTGCCTAGTACATAGAAAGCACCCTGTAAGCATTAACTATAATAATATAAATAGTAATAATAATAGTATGACCTAACGCTAATAATATTACTAATTATTGTTTTTTAATTAACACTAATTGAACACTTATGCCAGGCATTGTGCTAAGCATTTTCAATATGCTATCTCATTTAATCCTTAAACAATCACACCAAGACTTTTTTAGTCTTAACCTCCCCAGTTATTTTCAGTTCTTTCTAATGTGATATACTTTTTCAAAGTCACTCACCATCCTACATGCTCCCGAATTCATAAATGTCTCTGAAAAAATACTGAATGTTCTGCCTTGTGTTGAATGGAGTGATCTTATCACACCCTTCACTATAGAATAGCCACTATACACCTGTAGATGAATCCTAAGATCATAGTTAGATTTTGTGGATGCCATATTACACAGTTGAATCCACTTTAAATTGCAATCACCTGACACTCCCAAATCTGTTTCACACATCCCTGTTAATAGCCTTATATGAATCACTTTAATTTTAAAAATTTTAATTCCAGTACAGTTAACATAGTGTTAAATTACTTTCAGGTGTACAATATAGTATTCAATAATTCTATCTATATATTACTTAGTGCTCATGAAGATAAGTGTATCCTTAATCTCTTTTACCTATTTCACCCATTCCCCACCCCCTACTTCCTCTCTGGTAACCATTTGTTCTCTATAGTTAAGAGTGTGGGTTTTGGGTTTTTTTTTTTTTTTTTTTTTGGTGTATCTCTTTTTCCCCTCTGTTTATTCATTTCTTAGATTCTACATATGAGTGGGGCGTCTGGGTGGCTCAGTTGGTTAAGTGTTAAGTCTGACTTTAGCTCAGGTCATGATCTTGCGTTTGTGAGTTCAAGCCCTGCATCGGGCTCTGTGCTGACAGCTCAGAGCCTGAAGCCTGCTTCTGATTCTTTGTCTCCCTCTCTCCACCCCTCCCCTGCTCATGCTCTGTCTCTGTCTCTGTCTCTCAAAAATAAACATTAAAAATTCTACATATGAGTGAATCATATGGTATTTGTCTTTCTCTGACTGGCTTATTTCACTTAGCCTTATACTCTAGCTCCATCCATGTTTCAAATGGCAAGATTTCATTCTTTTTTATGGCTGAATAATATTCCACTGTGTATATATACAACATCTTCTTTATCCATTCATCTATCAATGGAAACTTGGGCTGCTTTCATAGTTTGGCTATTGTAAATACTGCAAAAAACAAGGGTGCATATATGTGAATAATTTTAATTTTAACCCAAGTATAGAAGCTTCTGTTTTTCTGGGTTAAATGTTGTCTTGTTAGATTTACTCCCTTATTCTTGGACAGAATCCAAATTCTGTCATTCAGTACATTACTACAAAATATTAATTTAAAGCATGCCATTAGTACTAAATAGGATGATAAATTCAGCAAGCTCAGGAAAGATCTGGAGGAGATCTCAGCAAAGAACTCTAACTTCACATGAAAAAATTATTTTCCCCTGTTGGGTTTGGCAGCCAAGAGTGTGCCCTGCCAGGCCAGTTCCCCTCATTTCCTCTCTCAATGTGACTTTGTAGGGTGGGATTCCTTTCTAGCGCTGCTGATAGAGGACACAGTTGCCTCTGAAAGCTCCCAAACCACTATAAATTAACCCTTGATGAGAATTTAGTAAACATGGGGGTCAGAAAAGGGAGATATAAAGAATTAGAACGGGGAATGGAAGAATGAAAACAATGTCTTTGTGTTGGCTCTAAGTCTCTGCCTGACAGTAACTGATTTGGGGTTCCCTTGAGAGAAAGCGCTCTCAAGAGGAAGTAAGATGATGGTGCATCTGCCTTGGTGACACCATTTGTTACAAGGGAATGTGGACTGCTACTTGTTTGTGTGTAGTTGGGGTGGGGGCTATGAAATAACCCTTCTCTTGGATTTGATTTGATACTGCTGACTTAGGGCCCTGTGAGGACATGTTGCTTAGGTCAAAATTTCTAGGGAAGATTTAAGTCTAAGAAATGCCATCTTAAAGGTGAAACTAAGGTCCTTGGAGGTTACAAATTGTTCCGATGGAAACACACGTGATACTAGCCGAGACAGGATTGAAACCCTAGCAGTATGATGTAAGAGAGGCAACCTTTAACCACCTTGTAAAACAGCTCCTGGGCAGTGGGCTCCAGGCACATTTACATGCAGCCAGGGTGGACAGTACAGGCCTTTTCAGGTAGCAGGAGTTGAAGGTATCAGAAGGCAAGCAGGGGGGGCGCCTGGGTGGCGCAGTCGGTTAAGCGTCCGACTTCAGCCAGGTCACGATCTCGCGGTCCGTGAGTTCGAGCCCCGGGTCAGGCTCTGGGCTGATGGCTCAGAGCCTGGAGCCTGTTTCCGATTCTGTGTCTCCCTCTCTCTCTGCCCCTCCCCCGTTCATGCTCTGTCTCTCTCTGTCCCAAAAATAAATAAACGTTTGAAAAAAAAAATTAAAAAAAAAAAAAAAAAAGGCAAGCAGGGCAGCCATGCAAGCAAGGGGGAAGGCAGTCAGCCCCTGGCAGCTGCTGCCATGACAACCGTATCCAGGGGCGTGGCCTTTCTCTGGGGGATCTGAGGAAGCCCAGAGTGAGTTTCTGGTTTAGGGATTCCTGTTCCCTGATGAGGCTGCACTTCTGTGGCAGAAACAGAGCCCCTCCCTCTGAGTCTGTCTACAGCACAGACTCCATGGAGGTCTGGTTTTACTTTGCAGGGCCTGTCTGCCTGGAGTTGAGGAGAAATGCCCTCCCCAGCTCAGAGGTTCCCCCTTCTTCTGCCACCTCTGCATTCTTTCTTAATGACACCCATGGCAGTACTTTAGTCCCAAGATTAGCTGCTGTGGATTGCAGCAGGCCCTATTCAGCCTGTAGCTCTCAGGCTCTCCCAAATAGCCAAGTGGAAATGGAATGACAAGAGTCTTCTCTTTTCTGCTTCTGGCCTCATCCTAACTGGGGTACATTCTCATTCTCTCTCTCTCTCTCTCTCTCTCTCTCTCTTTCTGTCTCTCATTCTCTCCCTCCCTTTCCCTCTCTCCCTCCCTACCCTCTGTCACTCTGCTTATGTCCAGAGAAACAAGGAAGGGACTCTGAGTAGCAACTCTGGCTGCTGGGAAATTACTCATGGACTGGGAAGGCAGGTCCAACCTGAGCCAAAGGGAGGCAGTACCAGGCTCTGGGCTGGGCAGGATCCAGGCTGTCACTCACTGGAAGACTCTGGAGGCCTGGGAGCCTTCTACCCATCTTCATGCCTCTGTCTGTGTCCTCCTTCTCTCTAAAAGGTGGAGGAAAGAGTTGTGGTAGAACAATGAATGAGGCCCCTTTCTGCTCTAGGATGCTAGGACTTCATGCTGCCTACCATGGTGAGGAGGGGCTTCCCTTGGGAACACCGTCTGGCCTGAGTGGGGACCTCTCCGGACTGTGGCTGCTTCTGCTGCTTTTCCCAGAATCCAAACAAGCTCAGAGCATAGAACTTGTCCTATGTTGGCCTTCCCTGCTAGACTCCAACATATATACTCACAGCCTTCCCCTTGGCCTCAGGGACTCTCAGAAGGGCCCAGGACAACCCCAGTCTCAGGGCTGGATGACAGAGGTTGGGACAGAGGCAGGGTAAGCTACATAATTTGTGATGCCCTGTGTAAAATGATAATGCAAGGCCCCTTGTTCAAAGAGCAAGAAAAATGTGCCTTTAAAGGGACTGAAATATAAAGCTTTTCTTTCTCCTGTGGTCTTTCGATTTCCATGTTCTTTTTTTAAATAGACTTCATTTTTTAGAACAGTTTTAGATTCAAAGAAAAATTAAGAAGATATAGAGAATTCTCATATATTCCACATCCAGTAACACCTTACATTAATATGGTACATTTGTTAGAACTAAGGAAACAATATTGACATATTATCATTAGCTGAAGTCCATATTTTATTAAAATTTCCTTTGTTTTTTCCTAGTCCTTTGTTTTACCTTTTCTACTCCTGGGCCCCATCCAGAATACCACATTACTTTTAGTTGTCATATCTCCTTAGGCTCCCCTTGGCTATTACAGTTTCTTGGACTTTCTCTGATTTTGATGACATTTACAATTTTGAGTACTAGTCAGGTATTCGTAGAATGGTCATCTAATAGGATTTGGCTGGTTTTTTTCTCTTGGTTAGACTGGGATAATGGGTTTTTGGGAGGAATATCACAGAGATAAAGTACCATTTCATCACATCATATCAAAGCTACATACTATCATAGGATTTATAAACATAACTGTTGACCTTGACATGGTGCTTTTTATTTATTAGGTAATATTGTTCTACTTTTGCACTGCTGGTGGGTGGGAATACAAACTGGTATAGCTACTCTGGAAAACAGTATGGAGGTTCCTCAAAAAATTAAAAATAGAATTACCCGGGGCGCCTGGGTGGCACAGTCAGTTAAGCGTCCGACTTCACCTCAGGTCATGATCTCATGGTTTGTGAGTTCGAGCCCTGCATCAGGCCCTGTGCTGACAGCTCAGAGCCTGGAGCCTGCTTCAGGTTCTGTGTCTCCCTCTCTCTCTGCCCCTACCCTGCTCACTCTCTGTCTCTCTCTCTCTCTCTCTCTCTCTCAAAAACTGAATAAATGGTAAATAAATAAATAAATAAATAAATAACCTGGGTATTAAAAAAAAAAAAAAAAAAAAGAATTACCCTATGACCCAGCAATTGCACTATTAGGTATTTATCCAAAGGATACAAAAATGCTGATTCAAAGGGGCACACGCACCCAATGTTTATAGCACAACTATCAACAATAGCCAAATTATGGAAAGAGCCAAATGTCCATCGACTAACGAATGAATGGATAAAGAAGAAATGGCATATATAGACAATGGAATATTACACAATGATCAAAAAGAATGAAATCTCATCATTTGCAACAAAATGGATGGAACTAGAGTGTATTATTATGCTAAGCAAAATAAGTCAGTCAGGGAAGATAAATATCTTATGATTTCATTCATATGTGGAATTTAAGAAACAAAACAGATGAACAAAGGGGAATGGAAGGAAAATTAAGACAAAAACAGAGAGGGAGGCAGAGCCTAAGAGATTCTTAAATATAGAAACAAGCTGAGGTTTGCTGGAGGGGTGTTGAGTGGGAGGAGATTGGTAATGGGCATTAAGGAGGACACTTGTTGGGATGAGCACTGGGTGTTACATGTAAGTGATAAATCACTAAATTCTATTCCTGAAACCATTATTACACTATATGTTAACTAACTTTGGTTTAAAGAAAATTTTAAAAATAAAATAAAAAGCAAAATATGGAAAAATAATATTGTTCTAAGAAAAGGAAAAGTAAAATTTTAAATTATTATTGGCATGAATTATATAGTTCAGCATTGTATTCTTTGATGCTAGTTTTATTTTTTATCGAAAATTTTTAAAATGTTTGTTTATTTTTGAAGAAGACAGAGACAGAGTGTGAGTGGGGGAGGAGTAGAGAGCAAGGGAGATGCAGAATCTGAAGCAGGCTCCAGGCTCTGAGCTGTCAGCACAGAGCCTGCTTATGCAGGGCTTGAACTCATGAACTGTGAGATCATGAAAGCTGAAGTTGGATGCTTATCCGACAGAGCCACCCAGGTGCCCCTTGATGCTAGTTTTAAATGCCAACACAAGAGCATTGGACTCCTTTTTATATTTTTTATTACTTTTTTTAACGATTATTTATTTCGAGAAAGAGAGAGAGAGAGAGAGAGCAAGCAAGCAGGGGAAGGGCAGAGAGAGAGGGAGAGAGAGAATCCCATGCAGGCTCCATGCCACCAGCACAGAGCCCAATGTGGGACTTGAACTCATGAACTGTGAGACCATGACCCGAGCTGAAACCAAGAGTTGGATGCTTAACTGACTGAACTACCAGGCACCCCAAGAGCATTTGACTCCTATGTAGAATCACCAAAATTGCACAGTTCATCTTTTGTAGCTTATACATGCATATGTATTTATTTCTTACCAGAATGAAGGAAATGTTGCACAAAACTAAACTATTTTTATTTCTCTTCTTGATACCTGCACATATGGACATTCTACAAAAGAACTGAAAAGAGAATGAACTGTGGGTTGCTCTCACTTTCCCTTTCATTCTTTAAGTTTTTTTTTTTTTTAATTTATGTAATCTTTTACCCAATGTGGGGCTCAAACTCACAACCCCAAGATTAAGGGTCACATGCTTTTCTGAGCTAGGCAGGTGCCTCTCCCTTTCCTTCTTTGTCATATTTTCAATATAAGTGGTTGACAGGGGCGCCTGGGTGGCGCAGTCGGTTGGGCGTCCGACTTCAGCCAGGTCACGATCTTGCGGTCCGTGAGTTCGAGCCCCGCGTCGGGCTCTGGGCTGATGGCTCGGAGACTGGAGCCTGTTTCTGATTCTGTGTCTCCCTCTCTCTCTGCCCCTCCCCCGTTCATGCTCTGTCTCTCTCTGTTCCAAAAATAAATAAACGTTGAAAAAAAATTTAAAAAAAATATAAGTGGTTGACAAATATAAGGAAATAACACATGTAAGAAAGGATATGATTGGGTTTCTTGGTCATTTGTGTTTTTTAGAATGTGATTTTGTGTTGGAAGTAAGTTCTGAATAGAACCAAAAGGGTGGCCTCTGCTGACTGTTAGGAGTGACAGAAGTAACATGCTTACCATTTACTTGCTTTGAGTCTTGTTCAAATGCATCATGTAATATCTTTGTATGGTTTTGGTAACAGAATAATACTGGCCTCATAGAATGAGTGAGGAAGTATTCTCTTCTATTTTTTTTGGAAAAATTTTTGAAGAAGTGATACTCATTGATTTTTATATGTTTGGTAGAATTCACTGGTGAAGCCATCTAGACCTAGACTTTTCCATCTCAGTAGATTTTTGTTTACTAATTAATTCTGTTATTATAGGTGTGTTCATATTTGCGATTTTATCTGGAGTCAGTTTTGGTAGTTTGTGTCTTTCTAGGAATTTGCCCATTTTGTCTATGTTATCTAATGTATTGGCATACACTTATTCATAGTATTCCTTCATAGTCCTTTTATTTCTGTAAAGTCAGTAGTAATATCCTCTCTTTCATTTCTGACTCTAGTAATTTGAATTTTCTTTCTTTCTTTCCCCTGGGTAATCAATCTAAATGTTTGTCAATTTTGGTGATATTTATAGAGAACCAGCTTTTTTATGTGTTTTTTTTAAATTTATTTTTGAGAGAGAGACAGATTGCAAGCAGGGGAGGGGCAGAGAGAGGGAGACACAGAATCTGAAGCAAGTTCTAGGCTCTGAGCTGTCAGCACAGAGCCCGACATCGGGCTCAAACTCATGAACCATGAGATCATGACCTGAGCTGAAGTCATAGGCTCAACCAACTGAGCCACCCAGATGCCCTGAGAATCAGCTTTTGGTTCTATTGATTTTCTCTGTTTTTTCTATTATCTGTTTCATTAGTTTCTGTCTAGTCTTTTTTAATGCCTTCCTTCTATTTGCTTTAGGTTTAGTTTGCTCTTTTTTAGGGTCTTACAGTAGAAAGTTAGGTAATTGATTTGAGATCTTCCTTTTTTAATAGGCATTTACAGCAATAGGCATTGCTTTAGCTGCATCCCATAAGTTTTGGTATGTAATATCTTCAGTTTTATTAATCTCAATATACTTTATAATTTACCATTTGATTTCTTTTTGATCCATTTGTTATGTAGGAGTGGTTGTTTAATCTCCACATATTTGTGATTTTCCCAAATTTCTTTCTGTTTTTTTTCTACTTTTATTCTGTAGTAGAAGAAAACAACTTAGTGGTATTTCTAATCTTTCAAATTTATTGTGGTTTGTTTTATTGCCTAGCATATGGTCTATTCTGGAGTATGTTCCATGTGCACTTGAGAAGAATGTATACCCACTTGCTGGTCAGTGAGATATTCTATAGACTTCTATTAGGTCTAGTTGGTTTGTAATTTTGTTCAAGTCTTCTATTTTTTTTAAAGTAATCTCTACTCCCAATGTGGGGCTTGAATTCATTTCCCCAAGATCAAGAGTCTTATGCTCTACTGACTGGCCCAGCCAGATACCCCAAGCTTCTATTTTCTTGTTGATCTTCTGCCTAATTGTTCTATTATATATTTTTAAAGTTTTTATTTATTTATTTTGAGAGAGAGAGAGAGAGAGAGAGAATGAATGAGGAAGGTGCAGAGAGAGAGAGAGGGAGAGAGAGAGAGAATCCCAAGCAGGCTCTACACCCAGAGCCCCTGTTCTATCTATTATTAAAAGTTGAAAGTCTCCAACAGTTATA